AAAAAAAAAAAAAAAAAAATGGATTAAAGACCTAAATGTAAGACATGAAGCAATAAAACTCTTAGAAGAAAACATAGGCAAAAATCTCTTGAACGTAAGTATGAGCAATTTTTTTCAGGACACATTTCCCCAGGCAAGGGAAACAAGATCAAAAATTAACAAGTGGGACTACATCAAACTAACAAGCTTCTGTACAGCAAAGGACACCATCAGCAGAACTAAAAGGCATCCTACAGTATGGGACAATATATTTGTAAATGATTCATCGCACATTTTCTCTAAGACTTCTGAGAATAAAACATCAATGAGAGTACAAACATATATATTTCAAGTCACTAAAATCCCATGGCTGCTTTAAAATTAATAAAAAGAAGTAAAGACTGCAAAAGAAAACTTGAGGCCACTTTGCCTCAGTTTATCCCAATACTGCAGGAATATTTCCTGAAGAATTACTGAAGAAAGTATTACGGGCCAGGAACACCTATTGGAAATGTTTAAGACCTATCCAACCTGCTTTAGAAATGGGTATCTTTCACCATTTTTATTTATTAGCCTTTCAGACTTTTTTTAAGTTTAATGCCATTAGTATTGTTTTCTCAGCAAGCCCATTTTCTAAGGATCTTTGATAAAACAACCACAGTTTAATCATATATATACTTTTTAGGAACTTCCTAACCTATCATCAATGGAAAAGTATTATTATAAAATCAAGTAATTCTTTCATGGTCAGAGTCTATACACATAACAATCAGACACAACTATACCTGAGGCTTTAAGGAATAAATTTTAAAATACATAACCACTTATAACAGTCCAGAAAGAAAAAGAAACCCTCCACAATATATAAAAGCCAAATGAAGGCACTATGGTAGAAATGGGCATTTCTATGGTCTTGTATGGTCAGCCATTCTACTTCACAAAAAAAATGTTCCTAATTCACTAAGTGCCTATTTTGTGAGTAATACAATACATTCAAAAAAATGTCATTATCAATTCATCTCTTGCTTCTTGCAAAAAAGACTGTTATTTTCCATAGTGTCATACTGACATTTTGCCTCAAATACACTGGTTAATGAGCACTCCCATTTTTAATAAGCCAATCACTTTCCCCACTTTCCTTCTAAAATTAACTCAAATTTAAGCTTATGACTTAGTGAATAGGAAAATCCCTTTGGAATATATAGAGGGGAGAAGTTATAAATGATCTAAAAAAGGATACGTACCTCAGGCCCTGTGATGTGCATCAGACCAGAAACAGCACAGGCAACAGCGTCATAACCAGCTCGCCGAGACAGTGGGCCTGTCTGACCATACCCTCAAACAAGAGAGACATATTCAGCACCATGCAGCAGAAGCAGTAGTACAATAGTGCATAAAACTTTGTGCCCAGGAATCTTGCAGCACTTTGTTACTATTACATCTAACTATCCCTTGAAAAGGAAACAATAAAAATGAGTTATGGTGTTATACCTCAGATGATGACAAACTGGTAATCTGTGTGCAGATCCCACCTGCATGACTGTTTTGTTTGACATAAATGAAATACTTGTATTTATTTTTTTATTGAATAAATAAATAATATTTATTTTATTAAATATTTCCAACATTTAAAAATTGGGACATAGCACACAAAATGCAAATTTTGGTTTTTCTTGAAAATTCAGAAAATATGTTCAAAACTAGGCCCACATTCTCACATGGCAGCAATCAATTAAGCAATGGTTCTTCCCTTAACAGAGGGTATAAATTCTCCAATTTCCCACAGTCTCCACCATCCTTAGTTTTTTATGCTTCAGCCTGATCCACTCACTTAACTTATCTCCTAGACTTTAATAGGTGTATGGTAGTCTTGCTCTATAAAACAATAACGAAAGTAAAACAAAACAATGTCTCCTTGGGTTATTTTTATATATTTTCTCAAGTATGCAAAAAGTACAGAAACGGTGATTAAAACTTTTAAACATAAAATGATTACATATTCTAACAATGTTATTAAGTTTACATAGAGAAGGTGAGAGTATCACTTTTCTTTTTTTGCCATCAGCAAAAATCAAGAGAACGTAAGAAATATTTTCTCTTGTTCTCCTCAGTCCTTACAAATATTGTTGAATATTAAAAGTTGTATCAGGAACTACCTGAATCTGTCTCCAAATCCCAAGGACTGACCAGAGAGTAGACAGATGAAGAACCTTCCATGCCCATGAGCTATTTGCTGAAATTTCTTGCATAATCTGCTTTAGGAAGATCAAAAGGGGTGCCTCAGGGCCTTTGCTGGCTTCCCCCACCACCTGCAACACTCTCCCTCCATTTTACTACATCTGTGCACATACCAGCACTCCCTGGCCACCCTACAAAGTCTGCATTTAAATGTCTCTTTATCAGACAGACCTTACTTGAAGAACTTTTATAAAAGAGCTCTCTCACTTCTCTCTCTTAATCTCCTTACCCAATTACAATTGTCTTCATAGCACTCATCACAAGATATATAATATAACTGTGTTTATTGATTTATTTTGTCTCCTTCCTACTAAAATGTACATTCCAGAAACTTCCTTTCTTTACAATTCACCACTGTATCCTCATTTCCACAATAGTATTAAATAATATTTATTGAATGAATGAATACTTGTTATATAAAAATAATTATTTAAAAGAACAGTCTATAACAAGTAAATTAATAAAGGAAATACAGAGGCTTTTATAAAATAGTTTTTGACCAAATGGCAACATAGGAGGCTTCTGAATTTTCCTTCTCCCAGACACACCAAATGTACAGTTACACACGGAGCAATTCCTCTGAGAGAATCAAGAACTAGTTGAATGACTCCTATACATTGGGTGACAAGAGAAAATAACCACACCTAAATGGGCAGGAAAGTCTAAGACACAGTCTCTCCACAAACCCCACTCCAGGCATAAAACCATACAGTCAGAAGGGGCTGTATGGCTCTCACCAAGGAGTGAAGGGTTTGGACCATATTTCTACCATCCCAAGTTTTAAGGCACCCACCTGAGGGAGAGGACCCCAAAGCATCTAGCTCTGACAGCCAACAGAGCTTGCATTCACAAGCCCCACAGGATGGTGGCAAACAAAGAAGTTGTTGACACATGCATGAGCACTAACACCAGCTATTCCTCCAGGGCTCAGCAGATGGAGCAGGCAAAAATGTCCACCTCCCAATATTTTCCTTAAAAGACTTTGACTGCCTACTTTCCAAGCTGCTACCTGAGGGTTTACACTCTAATTAACACTCCTCTAATGCTGACTGCAGTCCTACCTGAAACCAAAAATTGCTGGTGGGTTTCCCTCCAGCTCATTCTAACAATAAAACCAGATCACCAGCATCTATCTGGAAGGAGCTTGTACACATGTTTAGTGCCCCAGCTTTTGCAGCTACTGCCTGAGAGATGACCTGAGGAGCTTGCATTCATGAGTCCCAGAGGACAATGGCAGATAAAAAAGTAGTTTTTAAATAGGCTCAGATGCAAACCCCACAGCTATACACCCAGACAGTGCATAAGGAGAAAGCAAAAACTCATATTTTTTAATTCCTCCCCAGAAAGAATTTGACTGCATACTTTCTCAGCTGTTGCCTGAGGTCCAGCTTCTAATCAACCTGTAACTATGTGTGAAGTGTTATCATCACCTTGTGGATATTGACAGGTCTTGTTATACCCTCAGCTACTGGGAGCCACTAAGAACAAAGACAGTGGACATTCACAAAGATTTGAATGGCAACCTATTACTCAGACTGGGCTGATTAATGAGATTTATCTCCTACACAAGACCAGTCTGTCAAGACAGAGAGGTAGCTGTCTGAGCTAATGCACAGAAACCAACACAGAGTCAAGGAAAATGAAGAAATGGGAATATGTTCCAAATGAAAAGACAAATAGACAGAAACTGTTCTTAATGAAATGCAGATAAGTGATAGTTCAAAATACCAGTCATAAAAATGCTCACCATGGTCAGGAGAGAAATGCATAAAACAAGTGAGGATTTCAACAAAGAGATAGAAAATACTAAAAATTACAAAACAGAAATCATAGAGCTGAAAAATACAATAACTGAACTCAAAAATTCAATAGAGGCATTCAACAAGAGACTAAATCACCAAACTAGGAGACAGGGAAGTGGAATACAACCAATCAGAGGAGCAAAAAGGAAAAAGAAAGAAAAGGAGTGAAAATAGCCTAAGGGACTTATGCTACACCATTAAACAAACCAAAATATGCATTGTAGAAGTCCCAGAAGAAGATAGAGAGAAAGGGCAAGAGCTTATTTAAAGAAATAATGGCTGAAAACTTCCCTAACATGGGGGAAAAGAACAACCAGATCCAGGTGGTAAAAAGATACCAAATAAGATGAATCTAAAGAGACTTATGCAAGGCACATTAAAATTAAATTGTCAAAAGTTAAAGACAAAGAAAGAGCCTTAAAAGCAGCAAGAGATAACCAATTTGCTATATACAGGGGAACCCTCATAAGACTATCAGCAGATTTTACAACAACCTTGCAGGCTAGAAGCGAATGACATAAGATACTCAAAGTGCTACAAGAAAAATGCTACCACCGAAGAATACTGTACCCAGCAAAGTTGTCCTTCTGAATTGAAGTAACCATAAAGAGTTTTCCAGACAAACAAAAGCTGAAGTTCATCACTACTAGACTGGCCTTACAAGATATATTAGAGGGAGTTCTTCAGGATGAAACCTAAGGATGGTAATTAATGACATTAAAATATATGGAAGTATAAAACTCACTGGTAAAGGTAAATACATAGTTAAATGCAGAATAATCTAATATTGCAATGGTGGTGGGTCAATAACTTATAATTCTAGTATAAAAGCTAAAAGACAAAAGTATTAATAATAACTATAACTAACAATTATTAATGGGTACACAATATTTTAAAAAAGTAAATAGTGACATCAAAACCTTTATACATTAGGGAAGAATTTAAAACTAGAAATTTTGTATATATGTACTTTTGGTTGTTATCAGCTTATATAGACTGTTACAACTATAAGATGTTTTATGTAAACTTCATGATAACACAAAGCAAAAACCTATAGTAGATACAAAAAAAAATAAAGAAATCTGCTTAGATTTCTAAGCACAGAAAAATATCAACTCAGAAGGGAAGAAAACAAAAGAAAAAAATCAATTACAAACCAACCAGAAAACAATTAATGGCAATAGTAAGATGTAGAAAAGATGATCCTCTGAACCTGACTAAAGTAAAGCCAATTTGATTAAAGCAGCCATTTTGAAAGACAAACTGCTGGACTGCATTCCAAAGGAAGGAGAAGGGGGACTACTCCCCTGCTTCAGCTTGCAGGCTGGAGACATAAGGACTGCAAGGATATTTACTGAGTCTGTGGAAACTCAGGATAAGAAGCAGCAGCTCCTCTCTTCCCTGCATCCCTGCACATAGTCCCCTTCCCCATTCCTTGGTAAAGCTAACCTAATGGGTAGTGGGTGGCAACCTTAGTAGAGCAGCTGCCCAAATGTCATCCACCACTGCTAAATAACCACTTAATAAAATTCATTTACTTGCCAAGGTGGACTTGTCCAAGTCATTTCTTTGGCCTGTCAGGTCCCTCACAATTTGAGGGGGAAGACATTTCTTTTGCATCCCACTGGGAAATTCACATAACATAAGTCCATACCTACTACTTTAATGTAAATGTACTAATTTCTCCAATCAAAAGACATAGAGTAGCTGAATGGATTAAAAAAAACAAGACCCAACTATATCTTGCCTATGATGCCAGGGTTCTTGTACATGGAGTTGAAGAATGAACTTCACAAACACTCAAGGTAGGAAAGCAAGGCAGAGGCTTTTACTTAGACACAAAGCAAGAGGACAGAGCTCCTGGCTCATGCCAGGAGGGGACAAGACTTTACACTTCAAGGAACTAGAAAAGAAAAGAACAAACAAGCCCCAAGTTAGCAAAAGAAAGTAAATAACAAATATCAGAGCAGAAATATAAATGAAAGAGACCAAAAAGATATCAGAAAAGATCACTGAAACAGGTTTTTTGAAAAGATAAATCAGAGATAATGAGATCACGGGAAGATGGCGGCGTGAGTAATTCAGTGGAAATCTCCTCCCCAAAACATATATATTTATGAAAATACAATAAATACAACTATTCCTAAAAGAGACACCAGTGGATGCAGTACAACAGCCAGGATACATCTACATCTGTGAGAACTCAACATCACATGAAGCGGGTAAGATACAAGCCGTAGCCAGGAAGGACCCGAACGCTCTCCCACCCCAGAACCCAGTGGGAAGAAAGGAGTCG